CACACACACAACTTTTTTATATATGATAATGCATTATTTAGCTGAAATTCAGGTTTAAAAAGGCACCCTGCATTTTTGTTTACTAAGCCTGGAACCCACAACTGGAGCAGAGAGATCAACTATCTCACTCAAAGCTAACAAAATGTTGAACTTGTCTTTGAACCTATATGTATCAGACTCCCAAGATCACACAGTGTACAGTTCACCAGGCTGCCTAAAGAAGAGATAATAAAACTCAGGGAAAGGCTATAATCTTTCAAGGTGCTATCTGGATGTTCTGGGAAAAAAAAGGCATAAAAAATGGGAGCGTGATGGCCAGCTCTGACTGCTGAGCCTGTTTCAGTGTTTATTATATATGACGGATTCTGGATAAGCCAAGCTCAAACATTGCAGTGATAGTGATGACAATGAGTTTTTCCCTTCCACTCTTCTGTGCGAATATGATATGAGACACAGGGACTCAGACATTTTGGTCTTTCTTGACAGCAGATGAGGGCACGGACGTAATGAATGACAAGAGTACAATTTATACTAATCCTAGCAGGCATGCAAGTGTTTCACCATATTCATCTTCTTCAGTCTCCACATGATTTCCAGGCACTATCTGGTACAACTTCAGTACTTTCCTTTTTTTAGTCTCCTCTTCCAAAATATCCCAAGTCTCATTGCATGTGCCCCTGAACCTTTTCTCATATATTCCTCTCTTCCATTTCCACACTTATGATCCCAGATTAAGCCCTCAAAACCACATCCCCCCATGACTGCAGTGTTTCCTACTTTTCTTCTCACTTCAAGCTACCCATTTCTGTCTAATTATCTTACCAATTATGTGTATAAAATTCACAAATCTAAAGTGAACAAAAACTATGTACCCAATCAAACCTTGAACACATTTGTTACACATAGATGGGCTGAAGAAAATGAATCATCCCCCAACTTAACTCAAGTTATTTCTTCCACTTAAGTATCTTTATCCAATAAAAAGGTCCATAAGTGTGAAAGTAAAGTAAACTTGCTAGACTGGGTTGGAGTTAGCATTTTAAACACTTGGTATCTTCTTCATCCTCAGAGTAATATTTCCTGTTCATAGTTTCTTAAATCCACAGCTATCTCATTCTCCTGAAATTTGGCTTATATATTTGTCAGAGATACCTACAGAAAAAAAATTGTTACAGTAAGAAAGAAAGTAGTAAATACATACTGAGATCCAGACTCAAAATTGTGCAGACACAGGAAATGATGGAACAAGTCTATGTACATACCACCCAAAAGCTAGGGGCTACTCAGATCATAAATGGTGTCATATGGTGACAGATATTTTCGAATGATTAAGGTGAACTTATGCATTTTGACAAGAATGCCACAGAAATAATTCACAGGTCTTGGTGCTGTTATCAGCAGGCACATGAAGCCTGCAAGTCCCTTTACTTCTGAAATTAACTTGGACCATTTGGTTAAGGTGGAATCTTTCATGTGTCTCCACAGTTGAGTTACTATTTTTCCCTTTGTAAGCCATATGTATTTCATATATTTTGAAATGCTGCAAATATTCTGTTCCACATCATAATTTTGCACATATAATTTTTGCATCCAGTGATAATTTCTACAGCAATTGTTGCTGTGATGTTTGTTAAAAGGAGATTTTCTATTTCCATCTTCCCTTCTAAATTTGTTCAATGGAATTTTGCCATAGAATAAAATCACAGATATTTATTTTATTCTATGTATTATAATACAATATTGACATTATTAATTTTGTTGCTGAAGTTGTCCAAGCTTTGGTAATTAGGATTTTCTTTAAGCTGGCTTCTATGTCATTTTGAAATTGTGCCATCAATTTTTGAGCATTTCCTTACTTTTTGGCAATGCAAAATATCCCAAACTCATCATGTAATTTTCCTATTCCGGTTCTGAAGTCAACCACTTCTCCAGGAGCCCTGATTACTTATATTAGGCATATTGTAATTAGAAATAAATATCTGAACCCTAAGTGGGTTGATTGTTACTTTGTTCTTATGTCTTTGTCATTTCTTCTATGCCCGCTCATCAGATAGATGTAGAAAACACATTCACATACAATCTTTATCCATTTATATTAATATTTACCTGAATGTATATTAAAAACATTAGTTAACGTAAGGTTTGAAATTGTGGAACTACTAGGAAAGTATAAGGAATAGCGTGGAACATATAGGCATAGGTAATAACTTCATGAATTCAACTCCAATACCTCAGCAATTAAGAAAAAGTATTGCCAAATGGGGCTGCATCAAACAAAAACCCATTAAATAAGTGAACAAATGAACTGAACAATTATCATCTTACCCCAGTTAGAATGACCATATTCAAGGGAAATAACAACAAATGCTGGCTAGGATGTGCAAAACAGGAACCCTTATACAGTGTTGGTGGGAATGCAAATTCATACAACCACTATGGAAAGCAGTATGGAGATTCCTCAAAAAGCTAAGGATAGAACTGCCATATGATCCAGTGATACCACTCCTGGGCATACACCCAAAGAAAAGTAAGTCAGGATACACTAGAGACACCTGTACCCCAATGTTCATCATAGCACTGTTCACAATACCCAAGCTATGGAAACAACCCAGATGCCCTACAACTGATGAATGGATCAAGAAAATGTGGTATATATACACAATGAAGTTTTACTCAGCTATAAGGAATAATGACATGTGGTTTGAAGGTAAATAGATGCAATTGGAAGACATCATGTTAAGTGAAGTAAGCCAGAGTCAGAAAGACAAAGGCTACATGTTTTCTTTCATATGTTGAGGATAGATCCAAATCCCAACATGATCATATATAAACTCATATGTAGAATATGTTAGTAACAGTGGAATTACTCTATGGAACTCAGGGAAAGAGAGAAAGGAAAAGAGAATGATAGAGCATCAGTAATATCATAAAACATAACATCTGTTATGACAGATGTTGAAAAAGGGGGTGGGGTGGGAGGTAAAGGGGTAAGGGAGAGTAATAGAAGTGGTTGAATAGACCAAAATAAAGTATACCCATAGCGGGGAAACAGAGAAACCCCTTTGGACATCAACTTAAATATTAATAATGAAAACAGGACTATAAAATATGTACAGTGTATGTCTGGGAGAGTACTGGGGGAAGAGGAGGGGTGAATGAAGGATATTAAAGTGAGGATATATGGTTGATGGGCTTCGCATACTTATATGAAATAGAACAAAAAATCTCTTGCAATTGCATTAAGTGGGGGCAGAGAAGGGGTGTAGGGGGAAAGAGGATGGGGACAATCTAACCAATGTACTATATAAGCCTAATTGGAACTGTCACTGTGAATCCTCCCCTGTATAACAAATATATCCTAATAAAAATTTTATAGTAAAAAATTTGTGTGTCTATGTATTTTAAATTGTTGGGGACATATCTGTGACTAAAATTTTATTCTCTAGCTTCCTGGTCTAATTCTTTTTTAGATATAGTGATATAATTGAGAGCACTTTAAAAACTAAAAATGTTGGACCTGGGATGGAGCTCTGTGGTACAGCACTTGTCTAGTGTGCATGAGGCCACGAGTTTGATCCCCAGCACCACAAAAAATAAAATAAAAACTAAAATGTTATTCCACATGATGTAGCACTATGCTGTTAGCATTCATTTCTATAAACTAGTTGTAGCTTCTTTTGAGACAATTCCATTAAATATCTCTTCTGCTACTAGATTGATACTAATTCTAACATTTTTAATGTCACCTTCTTTCATTAAGTGAAATAAACCAGACTCAGAAAGACAAATCTCACATGCTCTCTCTCATATGTGGAATCCAGTATTTTTGAAAAAAAAAAAAACATACAAGTAGAAGAGGGACTATTTGGGGAGGGGAAGGGGACCAGTGGAGGGAGGGGATAAGAGTTGTCAATAGCAGAGGTGAATGTGATCAAAGTACATTAATATACATGTGTGACGATATCATAGTGAATCCCATTATTTTGTATAGTTAATATATGCTGATAAAAATACTTTAAAAGAATGTTATGTATTTACCAGTTGTTAGTACTTTCTAGTCATAAAAGATCCACTATTGTATTAAATTACTCTATTTCTTTACAGACAGGAGACAGAAAGTTTAGACTATAGTCCCAGCCTGGTTCTGTCTACTGCCTAACTACAGATGCCAATTAGGAGGGGAGACAAACAGATGACAGGATGCCATGAGCCTCTTCAAGTGATCTGCTGATGAGGTACCAGAGGTACTCTTGGGAGTTACATCCAAACTCAGCTTCCTGTGGACTGGGGTTCTCAGGCCCCTCCAGGTCTCTAATGGCTGCATGGCTGGAATTGAAAATCTGCAAAGGATGCTAGCTACCCTATTTGGAATCTATCCCTGTTCTTGACTCTCTAGCCTGAGTTTAAAGAACCCCTCACGAGGTCCAGCTTAGTTATCAGAAAATTGCCTAGGAATTTGGAACCTAACATCTAAAAATATTTGCTTTGTCTTGTCCCTCCTCATGGCCTCCAAAGATACTTTTAATCTATCACAAGGCTATTGCAAGGTCATCCAAGCCTCAGATAGATATTTGCTGGAACTCTTCAAAGTTTTGGTGAGCTATTAGTCCTAGATTCTGTAATTTCAGCAGATTTAACGGAGCAAACCTAGGTGGTAAGAAGAATTTTGAGTCTCCCAAAAAGCAACTTCTGATATGGCTCCAAATATATATCCCTCACCTATCTAACCAGTTATGTCACTAATATGTAACCAGAAGTCTAATTTGTCAGTTTGGTAGGAATCTTGCTGTGTGGGGCAAGTAGGTCAGAACTTTGTAACCTGCATCAAAACCTCTTTCTCCAAGGTCAGAGGAGTCAAGTAATAAAGTGCATTGTTGAATCCAAACTTCTAAAATTATAAAATTGAAGTTAAAATTTCAAACTTAAGCAATCATAAGGAAAACACCCTTTGTCACAAAAACAGAAAAAGTTTCCAGGTGATATTGTTCTTATGTTCTTACCTCCTCTATCTCGGGCAGCTAAACTTTGACCCCTTCTTAATGTAATATCCAACTGGTACATTCCGGGATCAGCCAAAGGGACATCTGCATTACTGGTTCCAACAGTATTTATTTTCTGTAAAGCAAGAAATATATGAAATATTAAATTTATTATCTCTTCTAATTTTCCAATGGTGAACCTAGGTAGTTTAAATCAAATTATAAGAATTAATCAATAAATCATCTTGTAATTTCAGACAATATCATAATCACCAAGTTCTCTGACAGTTTTGAAATTCAAGAAATTCTTTCTTTTTTTTGTGGTAGTGGGGTTTAAACTCAGTACCTCATGCTTTCTAGGCAGTACTCTACTACTTGAGTCACTCTACCAGCCAGAAATATGTGAAATTCTTTAGAAACAAAAATAAAAACATGGCAGTTACAGAAATGTCCTATATTAATTCAGTTTATGGCAAACAAATGTGGTATGAAATGCATGTCCTACGGAAGACGCTATATAATTCATCTAATAACAGATTAAGTAGGAATAATGTATGAAGTAAAAGTACAATTGACAATGAATAGAGAATAAAGGTATGCAAGAGAACTTGACTTCCACATAACTGAAAATTAAAATTGAAATGATTTATTCAGGTAACTTTGCTGGCTCATTCATTTATGCGAAAGATTTCATATTGATAGATTACACACTTCTATTTTAAGCCTAACATAAAATATAACATGATTATATAGAAATAAATTCTCCCAGCATTTTGACAGTATTTTTAAGAAATAATTCTCAAGGAAGTTTCTGTCTATGCTATGAAAGTGCACAAGCTATTTCTAGATCTAAGAACCTTTGTAATCTGCCTCCATGGAATATTTTTTAGTGATTATATATTCTTAATAAGTTAGTAGGCACTGAGTTACAAAGGTGCTTGCAAGAGAAATAACTATGTTAAAACAACCTAAATGAAATATACAGTAAAAATTGCACAGGTCATGTTTCACAGTGTCTGGAATTTTGTATACAGTAGGAAAGCTTACTTTTCTTCCCATGTTTGATATTGTTTTAAATTTTTATAACTATTTTTTCTGATTTAAAAGAAATGTTCTTTTGTTTTAAAATATGCATGGGTAAGGTAAAATAATAGACAACAGTCTGGCTTTTTAGTTCCACAATTCACATGAAAGGCCAAATAAAACAGCATTAAAAAGTCTTATTAATATATAATTCACATAACATAAATTTACCCTTTAATTAAATCAGTATTCTTTTGAGGTTTTGAGATCAAGAAAGTAGCTTTTCTTTTAGAACAATTATTACCTAAAACAAGAAGCTGAACGACGTGATTGACACCTGAACTCATCATCTCTCCTTTGGTAATAATAAAAAGGAATTCATTTTCTTCCTCATAATGTCCTTATTTCTATAAATGGTAGCACAGTCCCCAGTCACTGCTAGAAATTGCTGAGCCATCTTTGACTTCTCCATTTGCCACCCACTCACATCCAAATAGTTGCCAAATTACATCCATTCCATTTCTGTATTACATCTTCTAATTGTCTTTTTCTCTTTTATGAGGTATTCATTATTTTAATAATTGGATTAAATATTCATACATAGACTTTTAAAATGTTACAATTTACAGAGCAGCAACACAAAAGTGAAAAGTAAAATTCAATCCAGTTTCTCTACCTCTTATGATTACAACTTACAGCAATTTGGGGTATATCCTCTCACACTTTTGAAAGCCTTATACAAACACATATGCATACATATGTCGGTGCATATGTTCTGTAGCTGACTTTCATTTTCATTTTTTACAAAGCTAATATTACATTTGTTCTATTATCAATAATTTATTCAAGAAAATATCTTTTCTAATCAATGGATATAACTCTCTCACACACTCATATACATTTTTCAGCTTTATTGAGGTATAAATGATAATGAAATTGCATGATTTTATGGTTTATAATATGACAATTTGATATACATACATTTTATGAAATGATTGTCAAAATTAAGTTAGTTAACATATCTTTCATCTTACCCAGCTATCCTATTTTTGTTTTATTTTATGATTGGAGCATTTGAAGTCAAATTTTACCATGCTTTATTGTCACCATTGCTCTGTATTGGGTTCCCTGAAGTTATTAATCTTATTACTAAAAATTTTTACCTTTTGATCAACATCCCCACCCCTTTTCTCTCACTTCTTGCCCCTAAAGCCGTTTTTTTTTTGTTGTTGTTGTTGTTGTTCTAAGTACATCATCTTCCCCAAGTTGGTAGTACAATAATTTATTCAATTATTTGGCTATTGATGAAATTTGTGTTGGCTTCAGGATTTGTCACTAAAAGGACTGGTGATTTTATTTCCTCGCAGGATGAATTTTTTGAGAAAGACTTAATTTGTTCACACTCCTATCAAAAGTGTACAAGAGTACCCATTTCCCATACCCTAGTCAGCACTGGATTTACTAATTACTCTATTTTATGGGTGAAATGTATTATTTTCTTTCAATGTATATTTCTAGAACTATAATAAGGTGTCTTAAAAATGATGTAAAGGACAAGAGAGTAACATCTGTTTACTGGGCCATGCAGAAGACAGCAACCTGGAAAGAAAGGAAACAAACCAAGGTCTTCTAAACAGCTTTTCAATCTATATGTGAGTCTAATTATTAAGCAAGACTTCAATTCACATTCAGCAGACATTTGTTGACATACAATTGTTTTCTTACCTTTCATTGTGTTCTATTACATATATTGTTTCCAGGTAACAAACCTATTAATAAATATTAAATGTAGATAGGTTTACTACCTTCTAAAAAATGGAATACAATCTTCAGGAAAAGAAGAAATTTTACAACCCCACCCACCTGCATCCTTCTGTAGTGTTTCAATAGGTTGTGGTCTTCATTACCTTACTCAGTGCTTCTTGAAGTTTGGAATGGATAATTTATGGAGTACCTGGCTTTATGTTTTAAAATGCATAGTATACTTCATGTGTTGAGGAAATTCCAAAGATAATTTTGATTACAGTAGGTTGTCACTTCTGCTCTTTTAGAACTTGACATCTTGTTGAGTCTTTATTGGACTTACATTTATTTATGCATTGGCACATTCATTTCCTCCTTTAAAAATTTCTCATTTATATCCTTTGCTCACTTTTCTATTTAAAAAATAGCACCACTTTTTAAAAAGCGTAGTTTAAAAAATTTTAAATAGCACAGTTTTTAAAATTTTTCTTATCAAATATATTACAAATATGTCTTCCTTTTGACCATATAGGTATATGTGGCCATATACATATGCAGTTAAGATTGGATTTTTCTTTTATAACTTCTGTATTTCTTGTATGCCTGAAATGTTTTACTACATGAAAATACATACATTTTATCCTTATATTTTAAATTTTTTTAATTTAAAATTTTATATCTCTAAGTCATCAGAAATATATTATGTGAAATAGAAACTAAGTGAATTTTCTTAAATGTTATTTGGATGGATAGTCAGTAGTTGTAACTCTACCCGCTAAATGAGACTTTTTCATTTATAATACACTAGCTTTCCACATATTTGTGAATAATTTCTGAAGTCCTACATAATCTGCTTATTTCTCTGACAATACCATACAATTTGACTACAATGATTTTAAGTAAATTCTAGTGTATGTTAGACTAGATAGCTCCTACATTTATTTTTTTGTTTCTGATTATTATTGCATTTGTATTGTTTCTGGTTTGGGCCAGACTGCCTGGTGTTGTGTCCTGATTCTACCACTTATTATTGGCATGATCTTGGGCAATTACTTCACCTACCCTTCCTTCGGTTTTCTTATTTCTGTAATGGTTCTATATTATTTTGTTATGTGGTTGTGAGCATTAATACTTATAAGATGTTAAAATAGTATCTGGCACATAGTAAACAATAAATGTTAGTTATCGTTATCCCAAAATAATCTCAACTGCATTGAATTTCTATATTAATGTGGGAAGTATTTATAATTTCATATCAAATATTTCTAAGTAAAATATAACTTTCCATTTATTCAGGTCCTGTTTTACAACCTTCGATAAAATATTGTTTTCTTCATCCTAACCCTATCTAGCTAACTTTATTCTTGTCTATTTTACAGGTTTCATTTCTATTATAAATGGAATAATTATTTTTCCTTTTCCATTTTGATCAGGTTATCTGAGTAAATTGGGCAAATGCTATTTTTATAGTAACTTTATCGCCAGTCACTTTGCAAGTTATATTTTAGGTTATCTGTGTATAAAAATCATATTGTCTGCATATAATGCCCACGTGACTCATTTTACAGTACTTCAGTTGCTTAGTTTTTAGTTGAATTATCTTTGAAGACTGTTTAAAATAATTGAAACAGTGGGCACTTCTGCATTACAAGTCATTTTAACATGCGTGCCTTTTAGTATTTCACTATTAACATGATGCTTATCAAGCTCAAGCTTTATTTATTTTTTTTATTATTGTGCTGGGTGGGGGTACATTGTAGCATTTACAAAGGCTCTTACAATGTATCAAAAATATCAAGCTTAAATTCACCTCCTCCACTGCTCTCTTTCATCCCTCCCCTGGTTCCTGGAACAGTTTCAACAGGTATCATTTTTGCATACATGTGTACACATTATTTGCATCATACTCATCCTCCTACTCCTTTCACTACCACCTTCCCTCTCCCCACCCTGGACAGAATCTGTTCCTCCCTTCTGTTCTCCAATTTTGTAGAAGAAAAAATATAAAAGATAAAAAGAGAAATGTGGCATTTTTGCTAGTTTGAGATAAAGATAGCTACACAGGGAGATTCCTTGTTTTGTTTCCATGCATATATGTAGTACAATCTCTACCAGTCTTCTTCACTCCTCCCTAATCCCCTTTCCATGGTGGCCTCTGTCAGTTAATTTGGAGGCTACTTAAAAAGATGGACATCGATCTACCATTTGATCCAGCAATACCACTCTTGGGGATATACCCAAAAGACTGTTACTCCAGAGGCACCTGCACATCCATGTTTATTGCGGCACTATTCACAATAGCCAAGTTATGGAAACAGCCAAGATGCCCCACCACTGACGAATGGATTAAGAAAATGTGGTATCTATACA